ACTATTACATTAAAGTCTGTTGTTAGGTGGTTGAGCCTGTTGAATTTTATCATTATTTCCAAGGGTACCCAGCCTTCATCCAATTTGATCTGTTCCTTTAAAAATTTGTCCCGTGGCAAATTGAAGTCTCCAAAATAATACTCAATTTGATGACAGATTTTGGCCTCCAGTGCAGCCATTTTTTCATTATCACCGTTTTCAGCCATTGTGGCTAATCTTTAAGGCCGTGGTCCCACTCGCGCACCGCAGGCTCACCAGCAACGACGAGACCGCCCCACCCCTCGGCGCCACCAGCCTCAGGAACGCGCTCAAAGAAGGTGGGCGCCCTCCGGGCAGACCTTGCGGGCCAGTGACACCACTCTTTATATGAGAAGGTGTGAGTCTTAGTTTCAAGTAAAATATGTTGAGTTAGAGCTTGGTAAAAGCTGCGCAGTGCTTGCACATCATGACGTAAGCACTGAAGTTACTTCTCGGCACAGTCTTTGACGCCAGCCAGGTAGGATTACTTTCCTTTTCTTTTAATTGGTCATTTGTGTGGCTCCCAGATAGTAATCCTACCCCTGTTCCTTCCAAAACCTCAGGCCTTGCGTGCTGCCTGTGTCTGACCACGTGCTGCCTCCCATAGCCGCTGTGGCAGAGCCTGACGCTCTCCCAGGGCCCTGTCACCTGGGTGTCTCTCAGGCCTCCTGTCCGCATCCTCTCTCCCTGGGTCTGTTGCATCTCTATGTATTTTAAAAAGACAATATTTTTTATCAGTTGGCTTTACCTCTATAAAAAAGATATCACCATGCTAGGTGGCGGATGCCTATCATCCAAACACCAGAGAGGCTGAGTCAGGAGGATCACTGTGAGTTCAAGGCCAGCCTGGGCCACACACACACACACACACACACACACACACACACACACACATCATGCTACATTTAATCCTCTGTGAGTTAGTTTTCACCCCACCAAATATTGCGCCACGCCAGGTAGCGCTGTGTTCATGGTGTTCTCCTGGACTTCTGTGCTGCCTCTTCTGATGAGCTTTCGAAGAACAAAAATATTTCATTTGGCTGAGCTCTGTTTATCAGTGTTTCCTCTGTGGGCTGCCCTGTTGTGCTTTGGACTCAAAGAACTCTTTGCCACAGCTAAATTCTAAAGCATTTTCCTACGAGTTTTGTAATAAGTTTTCCATTTAAGTTCCTGATTCCTTTTGGAATAATTCTGGGGTAAAGTGTGAGGTTTGGGTCAAGGCTGCTTTGTACTGTGGTTGTTTGTGGTGCTGTTTCTCCGGCTTCCATGTGTTTGTCTAGGGTCAGTCTAGCCCATTGGTGTGTCTGTTTTTGCATCTCATGTTTTCTCCATTGACAAACGGGTCTCTCCTTTCCAATGACCACTCTCTTTGTGGCTGAAGCTCTGTAATAGGCTTAATGCCAGCTAGGAGATTGTTTTAGTTATTCTAAGAGCTGTACACTTTAGTCCAGATTTTAGGATAAATCTGTTTATGTCTTAAAACCCTTTGTGGAACTTGGGTAAGGGAAGCACTAACTGAACAGCTCAATTTAGGGATAATCAACATCTTCACTCTGCTGAGTCTTCCAATTCAGGAACACAGCAAATTTCTCCATTTAACACTGTTGGTTTCTTTTATTAATTTTGTAATTTTCAGCACAGTGGTTCTATCCACGTTTTGCTAGGTATATGCCTATGTATTTCATCATCTTTGGAGCAATTTTAAATGCCATTAAGGTGATTAATTTTTCCAGTTGAATGAACACAAATTGTGTGCCATTGTGACCTTGGTTCTGGTGACTTTGGTGACTAAGGCAGCTGGACATCTCTGTCCCCGCCGCTGATGAACGGTCCCTTCCTGCTCACTGTTCCGATTCGCTGGAAACCTTGGTTCTTAATTCTTTCTTGGTCCTGCACAGTGAGCATGCCTTCTCCCAATTCCAACTTGTCTTTTTAATTTTTTAAAAGTACTTTTTGATCAACAACTTTTAACTGTTTAGTGTCATGACAGTTATCAATCTATTTGTGGCCAAGTAATTTTGTGTCTTGGAGACTAGAGAAAGTTTATATTTCTGAGTCCGATGTGATTTGAACATGCTAAATGACCAGAACATTTTTATTGGAAGTGATTTTTAAAACAGAAAATATCAGTTTCTTTTCTCCCCTAAATAATCAGAATGTGTTGCCTTTCTAAGAACTTTTCTGTATTTCCAGATAATTTAAACAGTGAAATAATATTTCCAGCAGTTTAGCAAGAGAAAGAAAACCACTCTTCCCTAGAGAGCTTTCCTGGGACAGAGAGAAAGGGGCTCTCAAGTGTCATCAAATTCAGTTTTCCCTCTTTATGTCCAGAAAACAAATTAACATCTATCCCACGACTGTGGCATTCTTCCGTCTTAGGAGTTTCTTGGATTGTTACAGTGCGGCTGATCCCTAACACTAAGCCCACGACTTTCTTCTACTAAAGCAGGGAATTCAGTGCCAAAAATGTAGCTGTGAACTTTGCACAGGCTGTGCCTCTGAGCACCACAGCGACAGCACAGCCCCTCACTGCAGGCTCGGTCCACTCCATCTGGTAAGGGACCTGGGCTCCACGTGGCCCGGGTCTGGGAGGAGTCAGGACCCCAAAAGCAAGGGTGGCGCGGCGGGTGCAGATGCCTAGGTTCAGCTGCCTGTGCTGCCTGTGGGCGCTCAGCTGGATTGCTTCAGGTTAAAACATTTTTTCAGGTTAAAATTTTTTTCTTTTTGTTTATGAGCACTTCTAAACTTGAGTTTCAACACAAAGTTATGTTCAAAATGTTTTAATGTTAGAAAACAAGTTAATCAGAGATTTCCTTGGACTGCCAGAAGGTTGAAACAAAAGAGAAATACATGCATGAACACTACACGTGCACACACATACGCACATGTGGCAATGCTTACATGCATTCACATGTAAGTGCACACATATACATAACCGATATGCACATGCATATGTACACACATACACACATGCAGACAGACATTTTATGGTGTAATATGAAAATGCAGGGCAAAGTTAAGGATTTCCTTAAAAGCATTAACTAGATTATGAAGCAATGCTACTAAAGGCAGGATTTATAGAACATTTTAAGAATGTTCCAGTGGCTGGGCCTGGTCACCAACCTGTAATCCCAGCACTCGGGAGGTTGAGGCAGGATTGCTGTAAGTTCGAGACCAGCCTGGGCTACAAAGTGAACTCAAAGGCCAGCCTGAACTACATAGGGAGACCTGTCTCAAAAAGCCCAAATCAATCAATCAATCAATCAGTCACGTTGCATTATCAGCGGGCTTGCGAGACCCACAGGTGCAGGTGCTTTGAACTTGGATGCCTCCAGAACTGTGAGTGATAAACGTTTTTTACGAGTGAGTGATGGAGTGAGAGAGACCCGGAGAGACAGAGAGGAGGTGCCGGTATCTGGGCTCCGTGTGAACAGAAATGACAGTTCGCACTAAATCTAGCTCAGACCTCCCCTCCCTCCCGAGGGCGGCTCCCTCTGCGCGGAAGGCGCAGCTGCTGACGCTCCTTTTTCTCACATCCTCACGGGCAGCCGGAGTTCTCCTCTGATGGAAAAGCCCTGGCAGTGCCAGTGTGCATTCTCTTCTGGACCATTGTCCAACCCGCAGGGGCGATCCTCCTGCCTCAGCCTCCCGAGTGCAAGGACTACAGTGGGTGTGTGCCATTACACCCGGCTTCACTGTCTAGCATTCTAATGAATTAATCAAAAAAAGCAAAATATTACCAGAATGATCTTCAGGGACAAAAATCTCATTGTTGCATAGCTACAATATTTTAAAAATGGAATGTGGAGGACATTCTTGGTGTCGTTCAATTTTTGTCTTCCTCAAAAGCTTCCTACTGCAGCAAAGGTCTGGGCCCCTTTGCCCCAGGGCTCCGGGGTCCCCAGCTGGCCGGGCCGGGCTGCCCCTCGCCCCCAGGCCCCCTGCTGACCCCTGTGCCGCTCCCCGCAGAGGCCAAGTTCGTCTGCCAGACGCCCGCGATCGCCGACATGGTCATCCTAGTGGACGGGTCCTGGAGCATCGGCCGCTTCAACTTCCGGCTGGTGCGGCTCTTCTTGGAGAACCTGGTCACGGCCTTCAACGTGGGCTCGGGGAACACGCGAGTCGGTGGGTGTCCCTCCTCGCCCCACGGGGGTGCTTTGGCCGGATCCCACCCGGCCGGACCACCGGGAGAGCAGGCCTCCCGCGGCCATGGGGACGCGGGCTCTGGGGCCAGCTGCGCGCGGTCCTGCTTACTACTCAGCCCGGCCAGGTCCCCAGTCAGCCAGCCCTGAACGCCTTTTAGCCTCTTCAAAAGCCAGAATATTCCTTGCGAATGGACAGTGGCTGCAGCCAGGCTTCAAGTTACGGCCTCTTTAAGAATTTTTCTTCGAGTGTTTTAAAAGACACAGCTGCATCCAGGCAAAAGTGGAACTAAAGGGAAACTGGAAATCGTTCCTTTGCCAAATATTCTAGACGAGATAAGAAGCCAAAAGAGAGCTGCGTGTCTTTGAGCAATATTGTAAATAGTTAAATAGCTTGTCATTACTATAGAAAGCCTCATGATTGAAGTTGTAAAAGCCATGAAAGAATAGCATTCCTTTGAAAATAAACTGCAGCAAAAAAACATTTACATCTTTTATTTATATATGTGGACAGAGTTCTCTTCTCCTTTCAGATGCCAAACGTCTAATTAAGTGCCAACTTAGAAATGGCCAGAAAATATGCACACACCCTCCCCTCCCAGAGAGACCCAGGCTGGGTCCTTTAATCCATGTCAGGAATTTTCTTGAAAAATTTCATATAGCCAGACAAAGAAAATAATTGCTACAAGGATGCAGGCTTTAAGCACTTGAATTTCTAGAGTGGTCCCTGAGATCATTCCTGCAGTCTTTCTTTTCTTTACGCCCAGGTCTTGCGCAGTACAGTGGTGACCCCAGGATAGAGTGGCACCTGAATGCCTTCAGCACAAAAGACGAAGTCATCGAAGCCGTGCGAAACCTTCCGTACAAAGGGGGAAACACGCTGACCGGTAGGCTTGTTCAGTCCACAGCCTTGGCTGCCTCTCTTGCCCAGAATTGTGTGTTACTTCATTTCACTACTTTTTAAGCATCAACAAAGTATTTCTTAAAGTAGCACCTAGTGTTCATTTTATCCTTTTTCTTTAAATAATTTTGGAATTTTTATTAGTATACGTTTGCAGCACATAGCAATTGTGTTCACCGCAGGAAGTTGGTCCAAGACCTAACGTTGCTCACTTTTTACATTTTCCTTGCTTCTGTCTCCTAGTTCCCTTCCTTTTTTTTTTCCTGCCAAAACCCAGTCTCTCTGTTTCCTATTCTGTATCTTTTATTTCCTCTTTATTTCTGCTTTGGATTTCTCACCAAGAGAAACCATGGGGTACTGAGCTTGCGTACCTGATTTAGTTCTCTGAACAGCATGGGCTCAGGGCGGATCCATTTTCCTATAAGAGCCTCAAACCTACCCCTCCTTAGGGCCGAGCAGCACTCTGTGGTGTGTCGTAGCACGTTCCTTTATCCGCACCTCTGTGGAGGGACATGCAGCCGGCTTCCAAGACCTGGCTGTTAGGAACTGCTGTCACCAAGAATTCTTAGGCAACTCTTTCCCCAAGCCTGGCATTAAAAATTAAAACTCAAAGATCCTATTTCTTTTATTGTATGAAAATAATGTCTCAGGAAGAGGTTGGTTGAGCCAGAAGGAGTAGTCTCTGGAAATAAGGCAACTACCGTTAGCAGCTTCTAATTGCTGCCAGCTCATTTTGACTATTATTTTTACTCTTTCTCTCTAGATACCTGGACATTTGTAAAAGAGGTATTTTCTCAGCTGCTACTTTGTAATCATAGTTATCTCAATGATACCTGAGCTTCACTGGCTTGCTGATTTGTAAATATTGGCATTATAATGCCACAAGAAACTTGTATAGTTTTAGTGTTTTCTTTCCTTCTTTCTTTCTTTCTTTCTTTCTTTCTTTCTTTCTTTCTTTCTTTCTTTCTTTCTTTCTTTCTTTCTTTCTTTCTTTCTTTTTTTCTGATATGGGGGAGGAACCCAGGGCTTCAGGCATGCAAACTAAGCCACACCCTGGTCCTGTTCTACAGATTCTACCCTTAGTGCCAGCTTCTGCCTTCTGCAGCTGTGTGACAGTGTGACAGGTGCTGTCACTGACTTTGAGGTAAAGCACCGAAAACTTGATCCTTGCCTGACTAACCCGAGGAGTGATCTAGTGGAATTTTAGTTACAGGCGTGTGCCTGTAAATAAAAAAGATTTATTAAAAGCAAGTGTGTGAGGGCCGGCCTGATAGCTCAGCGGACTAAAGTGTCTGCTTAAGCAGAGCACAGCTGCCGGGGTTCGATCCCCAGCATGCCGTGCCAGCTCCACCCGTGGGGCATGCTGAGGTGGTGATCGAGACTGGGCATGGTGGCACACGCCTGTAGTCCCAGCGCTTCGGAGGCTGAAAATAGGAGAATCACTATGAGTCTGATCTATATAATGAAACCCTGTAAACCCTGACCTAAGTACAGAAAAACAAAAAACAAAAACATGTTGTGTACTCATATTCCAGCATGTCTTATTTCTGGATGGAGATTGTGTTAAGAGGCAGAAATACAGTTATTACTGTAAATCAGAGAGAGAGAGAGAGAGAGAGAGAGAGAGAGAGAGAGAGAGAGAGAAAGATTTGGGCTCTTCAAAACATCATGGGGCCAGGGAGATGGCTCAGTAGAATAAGCGCTTGCCTGGCTTATTCTAGTTCAATCCCTGGTTCCGGAAAAAAAAAAAAATTCAAAACATCATGAACAAGATTGAAAGTATGGTACTATTTTGGGACAGTAGGTTTTTTTTCCATCATAAATTACAAAGGTTTAGAATTTTTGGACACAGGATTAGGACTACTCACTGTGCATGAGCCTCTTAACCTGCCAGTTAGGAAGTGGAATGCTGTAGCTCGAGGGTCTTCGCCATCTTTCACTCCCATCACCGAGCCCACTGTTGGGAACCTAACTGGTGTCCAGCAGATGGCCCTTGAATTATTTGGTGGCCTTGGGCCTTTCTAAGATCACCACACTGTCACCCTTAGTCTTTGAATTGAAACACTCAAGGGAGATGCGCACACACGGAGCACTACCCTGCCATAAAGAAGGAGAAACTGGAGTCCTCTCTAGGAGACCCACGCGCCTTGAGGCCACCAGGTTACCTGAAATGAACCAGATGCTCCACTGCCACAGTAGCTGGTTTGTCTTTTACAAAAAACTCAAAGTATAAATGAAAGATAAGTGCTGGGAAAAGGGACGGATCTTCTGCAAACAGAAAGGAAGGAAAGGGTGGAGGAAGGTGGAGGCCAGGGGTGGGGGACGAGACGTCTGCAAGTGCATGCCAGCTGCCCAGAGAGTGTCACCCACGTGGACTGCAAACACGGGCTAACAAAAAGAAAAACAATGGAAAGTATATTGTTATTATTTAAACAAACGAAGTGTATTATCCCGCAGTAAAGCAACCGTTTTCCATTCATAGATCAAAAGAAATGTAGGGAGAACAGTAAGAATATATTTTCAAGCCAGGCATGGTAGCTCACACCTGCGATACAAGCACGGGAGGCTGAGGAAGGAGGGTCCTTGAGAGTTGGAGCCTACTCTGGGCTGCAAAATGAGCTCAAGGCCAGCCTGGACTGCATAGTGAGATCCTGTCTCAACAATGACAAAAAACCCAAACCAAACAAAAAAGAATATATTTTCCCATGTGGTGCCATACTGAATTCTTTTTATTGTCTTTATTCTGGTGGGCTTTAGTTTTTCAGCAGATCTGCCGTGAGTTGCACAGGTCCCTGCCTAAGGAATCCCTTCTCCGGTCCATGAGTGCACGGTGCAGCGCAGGAAGGCTTTTTGTAGAGATGTTTGGCTTATATTTATTCTTGCCTCCTTCTAGGTCTTGCATTGAACTACATATTTGAAAACAGCTTTAAGCCAGAAGCGGGGTCAAGGACTGGCGTTGCCAAAATTGGTATCCTGATCACAGATGGCAAATCCCAGGATGACATCATCCCGCCATCGAGAAGGCTCCGTGAGTCAGGAGTCGAGCTCTTCGCCGTAGGTACGCCTGCCTCAGCCTCCGGGTCTTTCCCCCCAGTACGCACATCCCCCTGGCCTTCCTGTGAGTCTGGGCCCGAGCACTTTGGGTCTCGGTTCTTGTAGCCCAGCTCTGGGATCTGAACCCAGCATCCATGCCTTCATCTGTGGTGTTGCTTCCCCCCCACCCGGGACCTCCTGGTGGGATACGGAACAGAAACTTTCTGGCTGTCTCTTTTGGTTCTAGAGAGAGAGGTCATTTGATTATTTTCAAAGAATTAACACCATTTACTTATTTGTTGTTTTCTGAGGCAGGTTCTTGTTACGCAATTCAGACTGGCCTTGAACTCGAGGTGATCCTCTTGCCTCAGCCTCCTGAGTTAATGGGATTACAGGTGTGCACCTGCAAGCCTGGGTGCTGTACTGTCTAAAGAAATCAGAGGTCTAGATATACACTATTACTGATTGAAACTAATGCTGATGGAAAGGGACAGATTTGACATATATTCATAATCCCTACGAAATATTTATGTAGTATAACTCTGTTCTAAAATGTTTATATTTTCTTTGGCACAGAGAAGCCTTCTGTTATTTAGATACCAATAAACTTTCTCAGCAGGGAAAAAATCAAGCCTGATTTCCAAGTGACCCTGAAATGCAAATCAACACACCACTGCACATTCCTCAAGCAGGCTTCAAATTAGTAGTTGTGAACAGTCATTGTTTTACATTTGTAGTTATTTTACTTGATGTCAATTGTTGGTGCAATTACATGCTTTTGTTGCTCTTCGTGCACAGGCCCTGGGGTCTGGCGTCAGTTTTGCAGTTGGAATGTCCAGCGAGAGGCTGGGCATCTGTGCTTTCAACAGTGCGTCCCTATCTGTACCCACAAACCTGCCCCGCGCGGAGGCTCACTGGTCATTTGAGTGCTTTCTCCTGTGAGCTGCTAAGTTGCTCAGAGCACTAGGCTCCAAGCGTCTCTGCTTAGGCATCCTATCTCACCAGCACAGCTTTTGATTGGCCATTTTTTTTGGAGTTTCTACTTTTATTTTAAAGAGAGAAGGAACAGCGCATGCCTGTAATCCCAGCACAGGGGAGGCTGAAAACAGGAGGATCGCTAAGAGTCTGAGCTGCATAGCAAGATCCTGTATCAAATACATTAAAAAAGAAATAAACAAATAAATTACTTAAGAGAGAAAGATTTTTCAAAAGTAAAAGCAATGATACAGAGTTTCAAAACAGGATAGTAAGAAATTAACAGTGGTTCATATATTGTTTATTGTTGCCTACAAAGTAGTTGCTGGGATTACAAGATACAGGCATGCAAAATTATTTTCTACATTGCAGTCAGGCCCTGTGGGAACATCCCTCTCCACTCTGCCTTTTCCTCCTTCCTGCTTCAAAGCAGGAGTCCCTGCAGGGGAATGACACTGTCACCTTCAATCTCCTTGGCCCTAAGCTGGTGCATAGCAAGCTACAAGGATCCCGCAAATGCCTGTGGGATGACTGGATGAATCAAAAATTTTCAAGAGGCCAGTATTACCTTTGTGTTCAGTTAAAATGCCAGAGAAGGATGTGGCTTTTGTTCAAATAGGTGAGACACATTAGCCTGTAGAAATACGGCTGTGACAGGAAGAGAAAGCAGCAGGAATCCCGGAAAAGCTGAGCCCCACTCACTTGTGCATCCTGTGACCTCACGCTGATCGTTGGCAGCAAGTCCCAGTCATGCTTTTCTACTACAGACCGGGCAAGGGCTGCAGACCTAGGCCCCAAGCAGCCTCTTGAATACTGACCACAATGACCAGCCCTTGCAGAGCTTGGGCAGGCAGAACCAAAATGACTTAAGCTTCGTGGGAACTCTGGTTGGAGATAAATCCGAAACTCCATCCTGGGAGTGGTTCGAGTGTGTTTGCCCTGACTGACGCTCGTTGCCCTGAAGTTCACCAGTGCACGATTCAGAGCTGTCTGTGAGGGACAAGTTCTGTCACCCAGTCTGAGAGTTACCACTCAAAATGTGGGTTATAAGAGGCTTTCCTCACACAGCAGTTGCTTATTGATTGTGTGCTAGGCATTGTGTTGGGTGCTGGGTGCAAAAACAAAGCAACATCCTTGCACAACAAGTTTCTCTCTTTCCCATGCAGTTGCAACAGTCAAATTATTTTATTCAAAGAGGAGAGAGACAGAGACAGAGACAGAGAAAGACACAGAGAGAGAAAGAAAAGGAGTTAGTCATTCTTTCTAGGATATTCTTTTGTGTTAAATTTTAAAATCATTTTATGTTTTGCCATATATATATATATATATATATATCTTTTGGATATTCTTATGAGTCTAAACTAGTCAATTTCAACTGCATGACAAGGAAAAGCTTTATTATCACCCAGCTTGGAGCCTCAGTGTACACGCAATGTTCTATTAATTCAAGTATTCATTGTGGATCCCACTTCAGAAGTCCTTCAGGCAAAAAACATCTCAGAAAGCTGTCCTTTCAAGTTTTCTTTATCCCTTCATCCTACACAGGAAATCTCTGCGGAAGACTTAACCCAGGCAGGGATTAGTTCATGTGTTTACCTTGTGTTCTCTGCTCTTGCAAGTAAGGAATGGATGACTTTCTGAACAAAGCTTGAAGTGAAGTCATTCAGATATGACTTGGGCTTGATCCTTCATTAGCATCTATTGTCCTATAGCCATGGAAAGTGCAGAGTTAGGAGATAATGTGTTGAGGTCCGAGGACACCTCAGAAGCAGCACTGCCCCCTGCCCTCATCTTGTCTCCCCTACTTCTTTTTTTTTTTCCATAATTTTCCTCGGAGACAAATAGCAATGAGACAGTTTCAAATCAAATTGGTAGGACAGTTTTAATAATTAACACATTGCATACTCTCTTCCTAGTGGTTATTTGCTGTACAAGATGCAGACATGATATCTTATTTACAAACACTATTAGAACAAATCCCTCTATTCATTAAGAGAATGTAACTATATATCTATCCTAACCATTTTGAATACACAGATACAAAATGGTCATTCATCTGTATCCCCTTTTTTGTTTAGTTCCGTTATTTGAATATTATAAGTGTATTAACTCAGCAAAATATTCTAAAAAAGTCCAGTAGTTCATAATAGTATTGGGTCTTCCACTTGACTGGCAGTGTCAGAAATTGTTGACCTGAGTCCCCTACAGCTCAACATAACAGCATGACTTTACTTCTTTTTTTGCGGAACCAGGGATTGAACTCAGGCCCTTGCACTTGCCAGGGAAGCGCTTATTCCACTGAGCCATCTCCCCAGCCCCATGATTTTACTTCTTATACTTTGTTTTTATACTTTTCTGCTGGTTGGTTAAGACCAACGTAAAGCAGGACCTATGCAATAAGAGTCATAGCTTTTGGGTCTGATAAGGTCAGTGAAATCTCCTCCGGATTTATCCTGAGATCCTGCACCTCAGATTGTAGATCCTTTGTCAGTGTCAGCCATGTGGATGAGTCACAGCCATTGCTTGGCCATAGTGCTCTCTGTGAAAGCCTGAGAGAATGTTTTATCTCCATGTGACTCTCCTTAGACACACTCTACATCATTGATCACTTTCCTCTTTGGCCCCATAATCTCCTTGATCAGAAAATTTGGGACACTACTGAGTTACATGATGTTACAGTACAAGTTCTCATATGTCCTGAGTCTTAATTGACCTTGGAAGGCTAGGGCCAAAATGTTGGCTTTCCTTGTGGCCCTCCTTTTTCTCTAATTTTGGTCTGCAAACTTAGGTTGTTAACCCTCCAGAAGAGAAGCTTATTGTTCTTACCATACAACCTAGGCTGTTAAGCTTAACCTCACTATCTGTCTGAATATCATACATCTTAGGCATAACATGGAACAGGTATTTTTCATCAAGTATTGATATGTTGAACTTTAAGTCCCTACAGAATATGATGAAAAAACATTTAAAAATTAGAATATATTTTAAAAATAGGCATAAAGAATTATATAATTCTTATGTTCACACATAAGTCCAGAAATCTAACCATATACAACCTTGAAGCAGGACAGTCCTACAACATTCCTTTTCCTATCTCCTGCCTTCATTCACCACCCCCTTAAGAAAGAGAACTACAGGCCAATCTCCCTCATGAACATAGATGCAAAAATCCTCAATAAAATCCTAGCAAATAGAATACAGCAAATCATCAAGAAGATCATACACCATGACCAAGTAGGATTCATCCCAGGGATGCAAGGATGGTTCAATATTAGAAAATCTATAAGTGTAATACACTATATCAATAGAGCAAAAACTAAAAACCACATGATCATCTCAATTGATGCAAAAAAGGCTTTTGATAAAGTCCGACACTCTTACATGTTCAAAGTCCTACAAAAAATTGGAATAGAGGGCCTCTACTTCAATCTGGTAAAAGCCATTTATGAAAACCCAACAGCTAACATAATTCTAAATGGGGAGAAATTGAAATCTTTTACTCTTAGATCTGGTACAAGACAAGGATGTTCTCTATCACCACTCCTATTCAATATAGTTCTGGAATCTCCCCTACTTCTGAAGTGCCTCTTTCCATGACCTCTTGTGGCTAAATAGTGGGGCTGCTATTGAAGTCCTCCTTGTTTGGGGGTGTCTGGAGACAGGAAATCTACACCCACAAAGTTTCGCCCATATCATTTCCCCATCTCAGTTTTCACCGGTGAGCATAGTCCTGCCTATGAACAGTCCCCGAGAGGTTGTATGATGCAGTGCAACCCCACTATCAGCTCTGGCCCCCAGAGCCAATTCACTCTCTGTATGTCTATTAATTTGTAGATGGCAGAAAAACCAGTGCTAAACCCACAGCATGGGAGGTGAGGATTAAGTGCAGTCATATGTGTAAGACCCCTACTGGCACGCTTGGGCAGAGCAAGTGCTCTTCCACGTTGTTATTTGCCAGTCTCAGGTGCTCAGCATTGCGAGTGGCCTGTGGCTCTGGACTCCAGGGCCCTGCGAGGGGACCACAGCTCTCCTGCTGGCACTGCTGAATTGTAGTGGTGATTAGACAGCAAGTTGTTCTCGGCTACAAGTTTCCCCTGAGCTTTCTCCTTTACTTAGTGCTAAATAATAATAATAATAATAATAATAATAATAATAATTTTAAATACATAGAATTGTCACTTGAGTGGTGCCTCTCAGTGTGACTAACCTTAAGGAGATCTAAAGCTAAATGCTGATGGTTTAAGCTGTTGGGCTGATGGCTCTCACTTCCATACTCCGTCCCAAGACGGAGCTGGGTGTTTTCAAACCATCTTCCTGTGAGAATGTCCTGAGTAAAATTAGGATCTAATCACTTAGGAACAATTCAGAAACTGATTGAGCAAACTAACAACATGAAAAATGTTGTTCTAAAGTAGCTGACGCATACCGTGGAGCCCTAGCCTTCAGTGGGCAGGCAAGGGTGACTCAGGCACCCTCAGGACGATGTCCTAACTGCCATTTATCAAGACACAGTTGCTTTCATTTTATCAAAAATAGACACTGTTACTGTTAGCTTTTCTTTCAGCCTGAGTCAGATCTATCATCTTCTGTTATGCAACAAGACTTAGCTATATATTTTCATTTTATCCAGTGATTTCAGGTGTGTATTGATTAATTTGATCTGGAGTTTCCTTAAGATGCACAGGTTGGCCTTGAACTTCTGGGCTCAGGCAATCTTCCTGCCTCCACCTCCCAAGTAGCTTGGACCCCAGGCTGGTGCCACTGACCCTGGCATTTACATACGTGTGTGTTTGTGATGGAAATGTTTCATTGTTTGTCAAAGCAAAGAGCCGAATGACAGGTACTTGGTGCTCATGGAGACAGGTGGAGACTTGACTGTCTCATCCTCCCTGCTCCCTCCACACCAGGGGTGAAGAACGCGGACCTGAGTGAGCTGCAGGAGATCGCCTCAGAGCCCGACAGCAGCCACGTGTACAACGTGGCCGAGTTCGACCTGATGCACACGGTGGTGGACGGCCTGACGAGGACGGTGTGCTCTGGCGTGGAGGAGCAGGACAGGGAGATCCGAGGTATCAAGGGGCCAGGTGCAGTCCTGGAATGAGAGCCTTGCTGTCTCCTCAGGGTGCCTTGCTCCCGGCCCCGCCCTCTCTCCTTCTTTTCTCACTTCTTTCTCCTGGAGGCGGGGTCTTGGTCTGTAGTCTGTGCTGGCCTTGAACTCCAGACTGTCCTGCCTCAGCCTTCGGGTGCTGGGCTCGCCGGTGCAGCGTTGTTTAGTGCTCCGTTCACCCCATGACCTGAGCCATGAGAGCAGAAAGGAAGCTCCTGGAGGCTCTGTAGGGTGCACAACAGGGATTGCTCCAGCGTGGGACCTGGAGATCATTTCTGAGATCAAGCTTTTAATTTCATTGCATGTTGATGTAGCTTGTGAGAAATCGCACGTGGGGCTGCACCCTGCAGAGCCGCAGCACTCCCGCTCGCGAGCAGGGTCCCGGTGCTGGTCCAGTCGCGAGCCAGGGCCTCTCTGTCCTACTGAGAACCACTTGCCCTGCCCTGGCAGCCACGAGCCCTTAATTTGCTTTACTTTCAAAAACATTCCGCAAATGGGATCCTGCAGCCTGTCACCGTCTCATGCAGATCCCATGGGGACTCGTTCAAGTCGCTGCTTGTGTCTGGGTCAGAGCCCGCAGTGTGGATCCACGCAGCTTGTTCAAGTGCTACACACTGAACAGCATCTGGATTCTTTCCGGCTGTGGCTGCTATGTGTGCTCTGCCGTGAATATTCACGGATTGGGTCTCGTGTGAGCAGAAGTGTGCAGCTGTCTGGAATATCGCCTGGCAGCTTGCCTTCTGGGTCGTGTCCTAGCTGCAGGATCAGCTTACTGCATCGCAGAGCTGCCAGCCTCTTCCAGAGTGGCTGCGGAGCGCACACGCCCGCTAGCAACGAGCAGGTTCTATGGATGCGTACTACCAGCACTGGCTGCCCTTGCTATTGTTGTTTTAGCCAGCCTGAGACTTGTGCGGTGACACGGCACTGTGCTTTTGGCGCTCATCTGCCTCGTAGCTAGTGCAGCTGAGTCTCTTCACACTCACTTTCCACCTATATGTCCCTGTCTCTTTAGTAAAATCTCTCTTCAGGTCTGCTGTCCACTTTCAAGTAGAACTCTTCAGCGTCTCGAGCATCAGTTGGGCATAATGATGCGGCTTTACTTCCAGTGTGCCTGTTCCGATAGGTGTGCCTGTCCACCCTCCACTAATACCGTACAGTCCTGATTTACCAGCCCTCTCTACTAAGTCTAGCACTTGAGTTTTCCCACAAAATTAGAAATGTATTTATTTTTGTCCTTTTGAGACAGGGTCTCACTGTGCAGTTCAGGCAGGCCTTGAGCTCACTCTATAGCCCAGGCTGGTCTTGAACTCACAACGATCCTCTTGCCTTAGCCTCCCAAATTCTGGGATTACAGGTGTGAGCCACCACACCCAGTGGCAAGATTATTCTTTTTAAAAATTGATTTTATTCTTTTAGTTCCTTCACATTCCTGTTACACATGACTCTAATCTTTATCCTACAAAAAAAAAATCTTCCTGGGATTTTAATAGGAATAGCAATAAATTAGCTATCAAATATCAATTGCCAAATATCAGTTTGAGGATAAAATCATTGTTTCTTTGTTGACTAATCCGGCCCATGAACACAGTAAGTGCCTTCATTTATTTAGCTATCCCTTGATTTCTTTCATCAATAGCTTTTGGGACTTGAGCATATCATGTGCTTCAACCCTATCAAGTTTTATTAAAATTATACCTAAGTATTTAATTTTGTTTGACTTACTTTGGTTATTTTTTGATTTTAGCATCCACATGCTCATTGCTTGTAAGTATAAATAAATTTGATTTTTAAACATTAGTCTTATATGCTGTGATCTTGCTAATTAGTCTAAGAATTCTTCAACTTTTTTGGAGATTTTCAGTGTAGAAAATCATGCTGTCTGCAGAGACGAATTGATTGCTTCCTTTTTAATCCCAATGACTTTTAGTTCCTTTTCTCACCTTACTGCATTTGCTAGGATTTCTCCTGCTGGAATAAAATAGTTGAGAATGATCTCCTTGCTCACCCCCGTCACAAGAGGAAAGCGCCTCACGCTCAGCGCGTTGGGCACGTCACCGCCCTGTGGGATGTGTGTTCCGTGTGCTCGGACGGACGTCCTGTTGCTCCTTTGGTGGCGAGGGAGGCTTTGCCAGCATCCACTGTTTCCTCCTGCCGGGGGAGGGAGGCGGAGAGACTGCCCTCCACTCCTTCACAGCAGGGTGTAGCACAGCTACAGAATTTCAGAATTTCTTCAGAATTTCCTCTCTGGATGCTGAGAGCCACATCAAAAATATCTTCATTCCTGATTCTGCCACTAAATACAATTTAGAAAACTCAAGGGGAGATGTAAAATATACTGCATTCCACTTATTTTTATGCCTTCTGTCACTTCTTCCTGAGGATCTGGGATTCCTTTTTTTTCTTCTGGGTAGAGAAATTCACAAGTCCTTCTTCAAAGACAGATGTGCTTAAAAAAAAAAAAAAAAAAGACAGATGTGCTGCCAACAGATTCCCTTTGGTCTCCTTCATCTGAGTAAGCCTTGATCTCCCCCACACTCCTGAAAGGTGTTCTTGCTGGACTAGAGACCTGGACAACAGTTCTTTTCTCTCAACCCTTGAAAAATATTGTTACTTTTTTTCCTTTCATATTATATTTTTAAAAAATTAATTAAGTTTATTTGTGCAGTTTAGCTATCCATACCAGTCACATTCATCATAGGATGCTTGTGCCTGACATGATATGTCTTGCTTTTCTCCCCCCAGTCCCCTCTCCTGCCCTCCCCCCTTCTCCCTCCTTCCTTACAAAAGCTTAGTTTCCCTTTTTCCTTCTTTTCTCTCCCTGACCCTGGACATTTTCCTCCTGTTTCCCAACGTCTAGTATGCATTTTGGTCCTGTTGTGTTGCCGTAGTTTCCAGTGAGAAGCCCGCAGTCCCTCGGGCTGCTTTCCTTCCATAGATCAGGTATTATTTCTCTCTCCCTGCTCCAGGGTCATCAGCCAGCCAGAAGCTTGGCTGTGGCACGACTTGTGGTAGATTTCTGTGGCTGTCTTGTTCGGAGTGAACTTTCAGGTACGATTTCCTCAAGGACCTTCTGAGCTCTGTCGGCGTTTTCTCCTCCTGAGATTCAGATGATAGGGATTTTTAGATACTGTGTGCTAACTCCACATATTTCTGAGGCTCTGTTAATTCCTGAAGTCAAGATTTTCTCTCTTTACAACTTCTACTGCCTTGTGCATGAAGGTCAGAGATTCTTTTCTCTGTCGACTCAATTCTGCGGCTTAGCTCATTAAGTTTAAATTTTTCTTTTTAGCTATAATTTTCAGGCTAGAATTTCCACTTTGTTCTTTTTTACACTGTTTAATTCTTTGCAAGACTTTTCTATTTCCTTACTAAGAGTTTTAATTCTTTCTTTTCTTTCTGCCATGGTTGTAACTAGACGTGGTAGTGTTTGGAGATGGCTGCACCTTCTGATTTTCCGGGTTTCTCCAACATTTCTCTGTCAGAGGAAGAGGAGGGGGCTCTTATTTTTACCAGATGGTAGGAACTCGGGTTGCTCATTTGGTCTCCTTTTGTTGCTTAGGAGGTGAGGGCCTCTTCGTAACCTTGTACTAATAGCATTCCGCTAAGAAGTGAGACCCTCCTTACTAGTCCCCGAGGGCCCCACCAAGTCTGCAGCGAGTGTGGCCTCCCTCTGCTGTTGGACCGTGGGGAAGGGCTTGCGATTCCACCAGGTGTGTCCTGATGCCACTCTGGAGTCTGGGGAGTGCCCCTGTTACTCCTGGGTGGGGCTCTCCATGTGGTCTCCCCGAGATCACACATGGGTGCCAAGGGGAGGGTTCCTTACTCCCTGGCTGATGCGAGAGATAGGGTGGATGTTGTGGCCCACTGTCACAGCCAAGAAGGGGCCTCATGTGGGCTCCCACTCAGCCGCGGCCGTCGTGGGGGTGGCCCACATTTTTGTGGTGGTGTTTGTGTGGAGCAGTGCACTTGACACCAGCACATCTTCCTCTAGCCTACGGACCAGGGAGAAGCAGGCTTTCCTGGGGTGTCCTTTGTGTCTATCTGTGGGTGCTTGTAGGTTGCCAGATACTTCATCTCCATGTCTGGAATACATGAATAAAGAAAGAGAAAAGCAGACTCACCACTTACTTCTCGAGTCCTCTCTCCACCACCTATCTTGTTCTACTCATTTCAGGGTCTCTTCGTGCTTGTCTTGGGCACAATATTGGAAGGTTTTGTTACACATAGAAGGAGGAATGGACCTATCTTCCTGGGAACAAGTTCATCATGGAAATTTTTTAAATCTTGCTTCTCATGTTGTCGCTGGTCCGCAGGCTACCCCGGCTGACTGGGGGTAATCTCCACAGAGGGAACAGTGTCAAATTTATTGGCTTGTATTTTCTACCCTGATTGTGTCCCGGAGTGGGACTTGACACTTTCTGTCTCATGTCTTCTGCTCCCACTATTCCTCTTCCCCGCAGAGGGACTCTTGGCCCTGGGCTGAGCGTCCGAGCGGTGAATCCTGAGCAAGTTTCTCTGAGCCTCGGAGTGAGACTGCTTCAGATCCCAGCTCCTCCACACTTACAAAGTCGACAGTGCAGCACGTGATTCACTGCCTGCCGATGCTGGCTTTCAAAACCAAGGTGCTTTCCATGCTTAAGGTTATTAAAGTCCCTTC